GTTTTCACCACAAGTCAATCTGATGCCTTGTAGAAGTCCATAAGTAGGACATGAATGCCAAAGAACCCTCCTGCTCATGTTCCCCAGGAACTGATATTCAGAGATACACTGCCTCTGATATTGGAGACAATATTTATAGCCATCATAACTATACCCATTAGTAGCCCTGTCTTCCATAGATTTCTCTAATCCCCCCTTTAAATCCTTCCAGGCATCCAGGTTCATGGCCATCACTATATGTTATCAGAGCAAATTCCATAGTTCAGCCTTCTCCAACCTGATTCTCTCCAGATGTGTTAGACTACAACTCCCATCATCCCAAGCCAACATAGACAGTGCTTGCATTGGGAGGAGATAGTAATCCATCTAGAGAAAACCAGTTCAGAGAGGGATGCTGCAGTTTATATGCTATGTACTTCCTTTTACCTGGCCTGAATCTCCCAGTATTGGATGACCCTAGTTTCTAGCATTATGAGAAAGAGTAGAAAAACACTTTATCTACACCATGCATAATTGGATGCATATCTACCACATCTCCCTTCCTTATATACCTTTTATTGAAGCTTAAAAGCTCCAAATGTTGCAATCTTTCTTCACTGAAGTGTTGCTCCATTTCCTTGACCATTTTGATTTCCCCTTTCTTTGTAAATGCTTTGTCATGTAATTTTCAGAAACATGAAAAGATGTCTTGTCTGCGGCTGAAAAGACTTCTAGGTATCTTGGAAGAATGTGTGTGTGTGGGGGGGGGGGGGTTGAAGGAACATGACCAGTTGGTAACTAATTATACAAGCCAATTTTATCTCATGAGGTGGTTTGCTTTCCCTTGCTACTCTATGGATAAGTGGCTCACTAAGAAAATACGAGTTTGAATCATGAAGTTGGACCATTAATTTTTTAGCATGGACTGAGCTCTGATTAAACATGTTCTGATAACTAGATTGGCACATCTGAATCACTTCTGAATTGTGTAGGAAACATTTAAATGCTTAAATTAAAGCCTGACTAAAAATTAATAAAACCCACTTATCTCTGAAAACTATCAGTGTTAAAGCTACAGTATGGATTTTAAGAAATCTATCACACAAAACTATTTAAAAACCAAGTAGCATTTTAGTTAAGTATTAGAGTTTAATTCACAGCAGAATGTAATGTGACTCCAGATTTCCTGCTTAGGTAAATTCCCTTCCCTCAGACTTTGTTGTTGTTGTTGATAGTTGAGAAGTCGTGTCAGACCCATCCCGACCCCATGGACAACATTCCTCCAGGACTTCCTGTCCTCCAGCATCTCCCGGAGTCCGCTTAAGCTCAGACCAACTGCTTCAATGACTCCATCTAGCCACCTCATCCTCTGCCGTCCCCTTCTTCTTAGGCCCTCTATTGTTCCCAGCATTAGGCTCTTCTCCAGGGAGTCTTTCCTTCTCATTAGGTGACCAAAGTATTTGAGTTTCATCATCAGGATCTGGCCTTCTAAAGAGCAGTCAGGGTTAATCTCCTCTAGGACTGACTGGTTTGATCACCTTGTGGTCCAAGGGACTCGCAGGAGTCTCCTCCAGCACCACAATTCAAAGGCCTCAATCCTTTGGCGCTCAGCCTTCCTTATGGTCCAGCTTTCACAGCCATACATTGCAACTTGACTATAGCCTTGACTATACACACTTTTATTGGCAGGGTGATGTCTCTACTTTTTAGTATGCTGTCTAGATTTGCCATAGTTTTCCTCCCCAGGAACAAGCGTCTTTTAATCTCTTGGCTGCAGTCCCCGTCTGCGGTGATCTTGGAGCCCAGGAAAATAAAATCTGTCACTACCTCCATTTCTTCCCCATCTATTTGCCAAGAAGTGAGAGGACCGGATGCCATGATCTTAGTTTTCTTAATGTTGAGTTTCAAGCCAACTTTTGCACTCTCCTCCTTCACCCGCATCAAGAGGCTCTTTAGTTTCTCTTCATTTTCTGCCATTAGAGTGGTATCATCTGCTTATCTGAGGCTGTAGATATTTCTCCCAGCAATCTTAATTCCAACTGGTGATTCATCTAGCCCCACCTTTCTCATGGTGTGCTCTGCATATAAGTTAAATAGGCAGAGCGACAGTATACAGCCTTGCCGAACTCCTTTCTCAATTTTGAACCAATCAGTGGTTCCATGTCCAGTTCTCACAGTTGCTTCTTGACCCGCATATAGGTTTCTAAAGAGACAAATAAGATGGTCAGGTACTCCCATCTCTTTAAGAACTTGCCACAGTTTGTTGAGATCCACACAATCAAAGGCTTTAGCATAGTCACTGAAGCAGAAGTAGATGCTTTTCTGGAACTCCCTAGCTTTCTCCATGATCCAGCATATGTGGGCAATTTGATCTCTAGTTCCTCTCCCTCTTTGAAATCCTGCCTGAACTTCCGGTAGTTCTCGGTCCATATACTGCTGGAGCCTAGCTTGTAGGATTTTGAGCATAACTTTGCTAGCATGTGAAATGAGTGCAATGGTGCATTAGTTTGAACATTCCTTGGCATTGCCCTTCTTTGGGATGGGAATGTAAACTGACCTTTTCCAACCCTGTGGCCACTGTTGAGTTTTCCAAATTTGCTGGCATATTGAGTGTAGCACTTTTACTGCATCATCTTTTAGGATTTTGAATAGCTCAACTGGAATACTGTCATCTCCACTAGCTTTGTTGTTGCTCAGACTACCTAAGGCCCACTTGACTTCACATTCCAGGATGTCTGGCTCGAGGTCAGTGACCACCCCATCGTGGTTATCAGGGACATTAAGCTCTTTCTTGTATAGTTCTTCTGTGTAATCTTGCCACCTCTTCTTAATCTCTTCTGCCTCTGTTAGGTCCCTGCCATTTTGGTCCTTTAACATGACCATCTTTGCATGAAATATTCCCTTCATATATCCAATTTTCTTGAAGAGATCTCTGGTCCCCCCTATTCTACTGTTTTCTTCTATTTCTTTGCACTGTTCATTTAAGAAGGCATTCTTATCTCTTCTAGCTGTTCTCTGGAATTCTTCATTCAGTTGGGTGTATCTTTCTCTTTCTCCCTTGCCTTTTGCTTCCCTTCTTTCCTCAGCTATTTGTAAAGCTTCCTCAGACAGCCATTTTGCTTTCTAGCATTTCTTTTTCTTTGGGATGGTTTTAGTTGCTACCTCTTGTACAATGTTGCGAACCTCCATCCATAGTTCTTCAGGCACTCTGTCTATCAGATCTAATTCCTTAAATCTATTTGTCACCTCTACTGTATGTTCATCAGGGATATGATTTAGGTCATACCTGAGTGGCCTAGTGCTTTTCCCTACTTTCTTCAATTTAAGCCTAAATTTTGCCACCAGAAGCTCATGATCTGAGCCACAGTCAGCTCCTGGTCTAGTTTTTACTCACTGTATAGAGCTTCTCCATCTTTGGCTGCAGAGCACATAGTCAATCTGATTTCTGTGTTGACTGTTTGGTGATGTCCATGTGTAGACTTGTCTCTTGGGTTGTTGGAGAAGAGTGTTTGCTATGACCATCATATTCTCTTGACAATATTCTACGAGCCTGTGCCCTGCTGTATTTTGTATTCCAAGGCCAAACTTGCCTGTTATTCCGGTTATCTTTTGGCTTCCTACTTTAGCATTCTAATCCCCCATGATAATAAGGACATCATTTTTGGTGTTAATTCTAGAAGGTGTTGTAGGCCTTCATAGAACCGGTCAACTTCAGCCTCTTCAGCACCAGTGGTTGGGGCATAAACTTGGACTACTGTGATGTTGAATGGTTTGCCTTGGATTTGAACTGAGATCATTCTGTCATTTTGGAGATTGTATCCCAGTACTGCTTTTCCTACTCTTTTATTGACTATGAAGGCTACTCCATTTCTTCTGAGGGCTTCTTGCCCGCAGTAGTATACCTGATTGTCATCTGAATTAAATTCACCCATTCCTGTCCATTTTAGTTCACTGATTCCTAAGATGTTGATGTTCAGTCTTGTCATCTCTTGTTTGACCACATCTAGCTTGCCTTGATTCATGGATCTTACATTCCGGGTTCCTATGGAGTATAGATCTTTGCAGCATCGGACTTTCCTTTCACCACCAGATACGTCTGCAACTGAGTGTCCTTTTGGCTTTGACCCAGTCGCTTCATTCTTTCTGGTGCTACTAGTACTAGCCCTCCGCTCTTCCCCAATAGCATATCGGACACCTTCTGACCTGAGGGGCTCATCTTCTGGCATCATATCTTTTTGCCTTTTGGTACTGTCCATGGGGTTTTTATGGCAAAGATACTGGAGTGGGTTGCCATTTCCTTCTCCAGTGGATCACGTTTTTTCAGAGGTCTCTGCTATGACCTGCCTGTCTTGGGTGGCCCTGCACGGCATAGCTCATAGCTTCATTGAGCTACGCAAGCCCCTTCGCCACGACAAGGCAATGATCCATGAAGGAGTCCCTCAGACTTTCAGACTTATGACTTAGGAAAGATACCAGCACAGGGAAAGGGGAAGAGGGAGAGCCTGAAGATGATGATGCAGGATGCTGCCAGAGACAAATGCATGATGATTTAGTTGCCCCATGGATGAAAATATTCCTATTCTTTGTTCTCTACCAGCCATTTCCTCTTTTCTTTCTTTCGTCAGCTGTGTATCTTCCCCTTTTTGGTTAAAGAGCTTCCTCTGTTTGTTGTCTCATCCCCTCAGGACCCAGAGTTTCCTCAGAAACTGGTCTGGTGGCAGTTGAAGGGGGAAGGGATCACGACGGGGAGATAGAAAGTTACACATGTCAAGCTGTGTCTTCTTTTCCTATTCTCAGCAATTGAGCAGTGCTGTCAATGACAGGACAGTTGGAGGGCATTCATTCATAGGGCTGCTGTAAGTCAGAGGTGACTTGATGGTACTTAACAGCAACTGTCAATATGTTCCCTCAGAAAGCCCTTCTAATGACAACTTGGAGGGAGGGGACACCTGCATGACATCTAGCTCTAACTTTGTGTTGCTCTATATTTTTACAGCAATATAATTTCATTGCTTGTACAGGGACCCTGGAATCTTGTTCTGCAACAGCTGACATTTCTATTGTGACAGTGACCACACCAACAGAACTCTCTGTGCAGGCTGGCGCAAATGTAAAGCTTCCATGCATATTCATATCATCAGAGGAGATCAGCACTGCCACATCTGTTACTTGGAGTTTTCAACAAAAGGGATCAACTGCTCGCCCTATAACGGTAAAAGTTAATGAGCCAGGCTGAGATACGTGCCAGTGGCCCTTTTGAATATTCAGGCAACAGTAGGCAGTTGCTGTGATTTATCTTATCACTGAACCTGGAGAAAGTAAAATGTTTTCATGCCAGCAGCTCACCTTTGTTTGGGTTTGGATGATACAATAAGCCACAGCAACTGTTCACATCTCAGATATTCAGAATGGGCAATGGACTGCAGTGATCATGCAAACTGGGTCAATATCTGCAGTAAGGCTCAATTTGAGTAAGAAATTGTGGCAAATGTAAATAGCAGGTTCTGACAATGCACCTTACTTTTCTCATTTGTAAGAATATCTTCTATCTTATGTCTTCCTTGTCTTCAAAGAACAGCATTTGATATTGGTCGTCTGTTACCTGTTCTTCAATATTGACTGACCTTGAACACATGTCAACCTATAATAGGTTGCTACCCATAGTGCTTTGTTGTGTTATGACAATCCAGACTGATTCTTGTAGGTGACTTAGGTCTGAACCCAAACAATAAACCCCATCATGGATTTCAGGAATCAACTAGCGACTCATTTGGTAACAGTAGCAAAAACCTCTTACTCATCTTGCCAAATGTGCCTGGGAACACATCAGTGCAAGGTGCCCCACAACTGCCTAAGCAGCATCTAAAAAATATTGCAAACCTATTGGTACACAGTAGACTGAAAAAAATCTCAATCACAATGCGGATGGGGAGAACATAACATAAGCAAATAGTTGGTCCTGGTGTGTTATCCCCAGGATACTTGTAAGAGGATCATCTGGAGGGAGGAAGCGAACAATGCATGGAAAACCTGATCATTGGTTTACCCAGCAAACAACCCAGGGAGCTGTTTGGCTAATGGGGTGGGCTAAAAATCTAATGAATAAATATACCCACTGTGGTTTATTGTCAGGATGGGTCGGAGTTGCATGTGGAAAAAAATAATCCTTCAGGTATTGATTGCATTCACCTTTATCTTCTCCTGTTCTTTAATTTTAATCAGTCCTTTGTGTCTCTTTGTAGCCTCTTAATGGGTGCCTTGTTGCTCTGTAAGACTCAGCATAAGTCACATAATCCAATTCTATGCATGTTTACTTAGACTTAAGTGGAGGCTTACTTCAAGGAAATTGTGCATAGGATTACAAGCTGAATCTCCATTTTCCCTGCTGCATACCCGGCTTTTCCTCCTTTCCCTTTTGACAATAATACTACTTCTTTCCATGACCCTGCAAAAGCTTGTAGTTTGGGCTAATCTCCAGCACTCTCCAATCACTCTTTATCTCTTCTAGTTTTTAAAAAATGCATATGGATGTATAGAAATATTTCTGTCTGCTTTTTCCTATAGAACACCCTTTTCTTCATCATGTTATACAGCCTCTTTGTTCTCTTTGATCACAGAAATGTCAACATGTTGAGTGTGTGTGATAAGGATTTCTCAAGTGAAATGATACCTCCTTTAGAATTTACCAATTAGAACCATAAACTGAAATCCTGAGCTTATGTCACATGAAAGTAAACTCCATTGAACTGTGTGATTTACTTCATAGTAACATGCATAGGATTCAGCAGGAAGTCAGAGTTTCTCTAAAAGTAACAAAAATAAAGAATACTTCCAGATGGAGGAGTCCTAAGGCTTACAATCAGAACACATTGTTCTCCTCTTCTGTCTTCCTAAACTTGTTTCCACAGTAAGAAAAAAATGGAAGAAGTGCTAGGGAAAACACAGGAGAGTTAACAGAGGAAGACAATATTGCTTTCAACCTCTGTGAAATTCCATAAATGAAACCTCAGTTGAAAGCACCAAAAGACTGGTAGTTTTAGCTAGCTGCATCTGACAGTGCTATTTTCTCTGAATCTGCTAAACACCCTGGATAAAAGCTAAGTTATTTGCAGTCTGTCTCCACTGAGAGAGTAAGTGTGGTATATTAGTTATAAATTGGACTAGGATCTGGGAGATCTGGGTTCTAGTTCTCACTCAGCCACTTGGTGACACTGGACTAATGTACCTCACAGGGTTCTTTAAAGGAAAAATGGAGAGAAGGACTATGTAAATCATCTTCATTCCTTGCAGGAAGAAAAAATATATTAATAATAATATAAACAGAGGATTACAACCTCTGATCTGTAGACCTGATCCAACCTGTGGTGCTCTTTAATCTGACCTACAAGGTGTTTACTGGTATGCATGCCTTCTTTTACAATGTCATCACCTTTTACCTTTGACTTTGTTCCCTCACTTCCAGTTTTCCCCTGGGTTTTTGTGAGCTACCATAACACTTTATCCCTGCTAGGCCCTGAAAAGAATTTTCCTTGCCTTTATAACCTCACCCAGAGTTGGAATACAGCCTGTGATACCTTTCCAAATTGGAATCTGGCCCTTGGATTGAAAAAGTTTCCCTTCCGCATTGCAAAGCAAGAAGAAACATGTATTTGCAGGTTAAAGTGTTCATTTTTGTGATTACAGTTTCTCTATTATTCTGATGGGAAGCAATATAATGGGAAGAATACATTATTTAATGGCCGGAGCAGCTGGGCTGGAAATTTAACTATGAGAGATGCATCAATCAAGATAGAAAACGTGCAACCTGCAGACAATGGCACTTATTTCTGTGATGTTAAGAACCCTCCAGACATAGTTGCTGAGCCAGGGCAAATCAAAGTCAAAGTTTTGGAGGAAGAAATAACAGTGGATTATGGAAGAGCAGCAGTAACACCTGAAAATACCATAATCATAACCAAGACCACAACCTCTGGAAACATTTTGCTTAATGGGGAATCATTTTGGCAGCTTGTACTTCAATTCTGCTGCATTTTAGCATCTTTTCTAAGCAATTTGTTCTGAAATTAAAAAATATCACTTAAGGTAATTATAGTGTTCTCTCTTATCTCCTTCTACTTGGACATTTAGCTATAGAAGCATTGCAATATATATGTATCTCCAACAGTGTCAAGGTAGCTGAAATGTACTCAACTTATTCCCATATAGAAATATTAAGCCTAGAAATGTACACATTTTGTTAAAACTATACTGTATTTCTCATATTGTAAGGACTCATTCGTTCCATTGTCTGCTCATTAATGGAATCTGATTTTTAACAAGAATTTTGTTCTACTTATGCACATTTACATTCACAGTAATACTAACACATATGTACTCATTTGCTCAAATGCACTAATGTGCATCAGAAACACAAATTAATGCATTAGTATAAGCGCACATTAGTGCTAATGCAAGTTTGCACAAACTTATCCCCAAAGAGAACAACTGGTCCACACATCAGAATACATATGATTTGCTAGAAGCATGTCCACTGCAGAATCTGTAGGCTAAATTCATAGCAATATGAATTTATTTGAATCTATTGCAGATTTTTCTGACATTCCTAGTTCTATCTAGTTGAAGAGCTCTTAACATTACAATGCTACATTGTTTTAGCTGTAAGTACTTGGCTAAACATTCTTCAGATTATGCATAACAGAGATATGTGTGATTGGTTTATTTCCTACATTGTAAGCACATGTGGCTCCAATTCAGATTGGGACTGTGGTGGTTTCAGAGGAAGGGAGATAAGCTTGCCTTCCTCCCATTTTCACCCTGAAAGAGATCATTGGAATCAGTGGAGACCTTTTTTAACACCTAATCCCCCTTCCAGGTGGGTAGAATTTTGGAACAAAATGGTAAGGGGAAAACTTAAATCCCCCCTACCCGGTCACCAGGGTCCCACACTGAATCAAAACCACAATCATATACACCTCTGCTTATGTATGATTTGAAGAATGGCTTGCCCACAGTGTAATATAAATTTGGAATATTCCTGCCTTAGCTTGCTTTATGAAGGAGTGCAACCTCATTCAGAACAGGCAGACAACCCAATTCATAGATGTAGGGACAACCTACCTATAGGTCTATGCCTTATCAGGATCCTGCTTCAATTAATTAGCCCACGTCCAAGAAGTAACAGCATCCAGGAACTGGCTCAGAAAATGCACTACTTCTCCTGATTCAGATTCTTGTTCCATCTTTAGGGACAAGATGGTGCCCTGTCATACAAGACAGTTCACCTGTCAAGGTGCTGAGGCACGGTTACCCAATGTTATTCTCTGGAACCAATCCAACAACTAAGAGGGGAACTACTGTAAGACAGTACCTCCAGATCCGAATTCACAGTGATGGTCCAGGTGGATACCATGGTCAACAGTATCAAAAACTGCTGAGAGTTCAAGAAGTTACAGACCATACACTAGGATTGTCTCTCTTCCATGAAAGTCATCCAGCAGACCAAACGGCTGATTCTTTCCTAAAACTGAGCCTGAACCCTTACTGAATTAGATCCTGATTATTGGTTTCATCCAGGACTGTCTGCTACAGAGATTTCAGTTAGTCACAGACACATAAGATTACTTCCTAAGATTTATTTTATAGAATATCCAAAGGGCCTAATTTCACAATCTTCTGAGATATTTTTTGGCAGAAAGAGAGAAGCTAGCTTAGCCTTCTTCAACCTTGTGTTCTCCAGCTGCTAAATAGAAAGCTGCCTCATATGGACACAATTTGCACAAACAAGCCATGACGAATCTATTTATTTATTTATTTAGCAAGCTTCTATGCCGCCCCATTCGCTGAAGCCTCGGGGTGGTTCACAACAATTAGACCATGCAAACTGATTAAGCAACCGTGGGTTTTTTGTGAACATGTTGGAAGGAGTGAGTATGTTAACTCCTATCTGCTCTTCAACAGTTGCTAAACATTCCAGAACCCACTTACTAGGTTGTTGTCATGATGTGCAAAACTGAAGCCCTAAGCAACCCAGAGTTTCAACCCCACAAGAAACTCTGAGTGATTGTTAGATGCAGTCTCTTGGCTATTTAACCGTAAACAATCCAGAATGCTGAGTTCACATGCAACAGCAACACTATAGAAGCACAGTCATTTACAAAACTGGATGTTAAAGCTGAAGTAACAAGTGCCTAGCAGGCAATATACTTGCGTACT